CTTTTTTCTATTTTAGGGCCAGATTTACTAACAGATTGCGCCAGTGCAAACCCTATTGCATGCATTTGTAGGAGTTTCCCTTTAAGACGCAAAATTTATGGGAAGAGAGTATTTAAATGAATCACGCAAGGTGATTTAGGTTTAGGTTTACGCTGGTCAATTTACTGGTATTAGCGTCATTATTTACCATCCAAAAAAAGCATGTCTTAAACCAGACGTTAATTTGCGTTGCTCTTGGTAGATTGTGTTGGTATTTTGGAAATGATCCAATCTGCGTTCTTTAATTTGTGCATTGTCAGTAATCACACGCAGAACTTTCCACTCTCATCGACACTTATTAGTATTGCGCTCTTACGCTAATTTGCCCTGTTTGGCCTGTCCTGTGAATCTGAATTTTCAGCATCATTACTCTAGTCTTCAGTGTCACATGATCCTTCAGAAATCATTCTAATATGCTGATTTGGTGCTCAAGAAACATTTCTTATTATTATCAAAAGCCGCTTTTCCACCGCCGGGCCAAACCATTAACTAACCATTCCATTCTGTGCCGACGGGTATTCATTTCCCACTGTGGGACTGATAACACAGCTCTTTGGATTGTAATACATACAGTATCTCACGAAAGTGAGTACACCCCTCATTTCAGCAAACATTTTAGTATATCTTCTCAAGGGACAATACTACAGAAATTAAACTTAGATATATTTTAGAGTAGTCCCTGTGCTGCTTGTATAGCAGTATATATTTACAGTCCTCTGAAAATAACTCAACATACAGCTATTATTGTCAAAATAGCTGGCAACAAAAGTGAGTACACCCTAAGTGAACATGTCAAAACTGTGTCCAAAGTGTCAATATTTTGTGTGAGCACCATTGTTATCTAGCCCTGCCTTAACCCTCCTGGCCATGGAATTCACCAGAGCTGCACAGGTTGTTGCTGGGATCCTCTTCCACTCCTCCATAATGACATCACGGAGCCGCTGGATGTTAGACACATGGAGCCTCCACCTTCCGCTTGAGGACGCCCCACAGGTGCTCAATAGGGTTCAGGTCTGGAGACATACTTGGCCACTCCATCACCTTCACCTTCAGCTTCCTCAGCAAGGCAGTTGTCATCTTTGCCGGTGTGTTTGGGTTCGTCATCATGCTGCTCGGCACAGTTTCTGAAGGGAGGGCATCATGTTCTGCTTCAGAATGTCACAGTACATGTTGGAATCCATTTTTCCTCAATGAAGCTCAGCTCCCCAGTACCAGCAGCACTCGTGCAGCTCAAGACCATGATGCTACCACCACCATGCTTGCCCTGGTGAGGAGTACCAAGAGAATTGTGTCTTGCCAAAAGTCATCGCCACACATGCTGGACACCATCTGAGCCAAACAAGTTAATCTTATTCTCATCAGGCCACAGGACATGGTTCCAGTAATTCATGCTCTTGGACAGGTTGCTTTCAGCACACTGTTTGCAGGCTTTCTTGTGAGCCAGCTTCAGAGGAGGCTTCCTTCTGGGACGACGTCCATGCAAACCGACTTGTTGCAGTGTGCGGTGTATGGTCTGAGCACTGACAAGCTGACCTTCTGCTTCTGCAACCTCTAAAGCAATGCTGGCAGCACTTATGCGTCTGTTTTTTGAAGCCAGCTTCTGCACCTGACGCACAGCACGAGGACTCAACTTCTTTGATTGACCCTTGCGAGGCCTCTTCCGAGTGGAACCCGTCATGGAAAACCTCTGTATGACCCTGGCCACTGTACTGTAACTCGGTTTCAGGGTGTTACCAATCTTCTTATAGCCTAGGTCAACTTTGTTGAGAGCAACAATTCTAATTCTCAAATCCTTAGAGAGTTCTTTGCCATGAGGGGCCATGTTGAACATCCAGTGGTCAGTATGAGAGAATTGTACTCAAAGCACAAATTTTAACTGCTCTTATACAAGATACAACAATTTGTATGGTCCTGTCAAGCAGATAAAAAAAAATTATGAATAGGACATGTGGCTTTGCATGGTTAAACGACGTACAGCTATTATCACGTAGGGTGTACTCACTTTTGTTGCCAGCTATTTTGACAATAATAGCTGTATGTTGATTTTTATTTTCAGAGGACAGTAAATATATACTGTTATACATGCAGCACATTGACTACTCTAAAATATATCCAAGTTTCATTTCTATAGTATTGTCCCTTGAGTATATATACTAAAATGTGTTCTAAAATGTGAGGGGTGTACTCACTTTTGTGAGATACTGTATGTCTCAGTCCTTGCCCAGTCACACAAGAGTTAAACGATTTATGAGATGTAAATAGCGACCATGTTATGGTGAATAATGATCATATATTTCTTTTAATTTTATTATTAACTTGTGTTTACTTCACTCATATAGCGTACAAGTGACCAATCCTGAGTGGCGATGTTACTAGTTAGCCAACCTTGCTGAGAATTCGGAGCTGAGAATGGTTTGTAATCGCGTTGTGCCGAACCAACCTCGAATGGAAATATAACTGGAACCGTTCCTTACAGTTCTTAGAACTGTTCAGCCCGATGGTGGAAAAGCAGTTGAAGTTGAAAACAGTTGTGCTGTTTCATATTCTTTGATGAAAAGAAAAATAACTGCATGTATTTTAAATTTATTTGCTATTAAAAACATGTGTATATCAGTTTGTGGGGTAACTATATGGAATGGAATGGATAATGACATCAAACAGAGCCATAATATCATTTGGTTCAAAAATAGATTAAAGAAATCATTATTGGACCAATATAGATAAGTATAGACTGAAACACAGGACTAAATCTGCAATGTGAAAGTATTGTGGTTAAGGTAGTGTTGTGAGTTATGTAAGATCTGAGAAAAATGTATGCTGTAACTGCGTATTTATTTGCTTTTTAATATTATTATTTTTGTTAAATATGGGCAGGTTTAAATAAGCTAATTGCTTCTGCCTGCTCCTTCTCAAACACATTTTTATTTTTATTATTTTTTTGTTGTTGTTGTTTTGGTTTTATTATTATTATTACTATTATTTATATATATATATTTATTTTTTGATGGTTGTGTTTTAATTTGTGGTTTTAATTATTGTTTTGTTGTTGTGTATCTATGTTGATTGTTTGAGACAAATAATAAAGAAAGAAAGAAAGAAAGAAAGAAAGAAAGAAAGAAAGAAAGAAAGAAAGAAAGAAAGAAAGAAAGAAAGAAAGAAAGAAAGAAAGAAAGAAAGAAAGAAAGAAAGAAAGAAAGAAAGAAAGAAAGAAAGAAATCTTTTGTAACATTAAAATGTTACTGCCACATTTGATCCATTTAATGCATTCTTGCAGAATGAATTTCTATACATAAAAAATTACTGATTCCAAACTTTTGAACAGTAGTGTATAACACAAATGCTGTTTGTCTAAACAAAAATATAATAAAAAAAACAGCCAAAAACATATTAAGGAGCTATTTGGCATGTTCTCCAATCCATGCCACTGTAACATCTGGACTTTAATTGAGGTTCTATGCGGTGTAGCAAAGCGGGGGGCTCATTAAGAATGAATGAGAAATGTGTCTCATGAAAGACAGATGTGGAAACATGCAGGTTACCAATTGCATTATACACTGCTTTAACCCATTCTTTAACTAATTTTTTACTAATGTGTGGGCGACACAACAGCTCATATAGACAATCTGAATGAATTATAGCGCTAAATAAAGCTAATTTCATTTTGAACACCAAAAACAATCAAAGTAACTAATTTGGAGATGCGACTCAAGAGACAATGTGATCTTGTTCGCATCTCTAATGGAGAATCACCCGTTTTATTCACCTTTCTTTACTTATAGATGCCACATTTGACCCCTCCAGTCACGTCAACTGCCAACGTGTCGTCACTCACAGTAAGAATCATTGGTGCCACAACATTGCGCAGTTTCAGAGATTTAAATTCCCAAAGAATTGGGATAATCTGTCACAGGTGAGAATGTGTTGGTTTGTGTTTTTATATGTGTTTGACCATTCCAATATGGCGGATGACATGCGTATCGTGGCCAATAGAATCTATGTAAATACATCTATGTCTTCACTGACCAAATGTAAGTGACTCTTCTAGAACTCGACTGCTACAGATTTGAAAAGCACACAGTATTGTGCAATAAACTAGCAGGAAACTCCCTGTATCTATTCATCTGCTTATTTACATGCTCCATCGATGTTGACCCTATTTATGTGCCTATTACACGTTCCTCAACATAATGAGTTAACTTAACGGTGCATGTTATTCCAAAGAAAAACATCCTGCTATACATTTGTTTTGTTAAACATCCAGTATGGAAATAAGTTACAAAAGGAAAAAAAAAGGGGAGCAATGGGTTGCTTGAGCATGAAACATATCCTCATGTTGCTGTCCCTGGACGGTAAGTTGCTTTGGATATAAGAGTCAGCTAAATGTAAATTTTGGAAAAAGATAATGGAGGTGCAATGCTGACAAAGTCTAATTGAAGCCCAGTCCATTTAGATAGAGGATTTTGTTTAATCATGGCATTTTGCTGAAGACGCAAATCTTTTTTATTGCTATTTATAGCTATTTATTGTATGGGCCTCGACTGGCTCGCTGGTGCAGGGACACTTATGAGCTGACAAGCAGTTTTTCCAGTTTTCATCATTCTGATTATAAAGGCTTGTTATTTGGACCCCATTATAAAAAAAAGTACGCTAATGTTATATCAAGGATTGGTACGTGCTAATTTGGAGGAAACACTACACTGTTCCACCATGTCACATCACAATAACAGAATGCCACAGCTTAGCATTTGTGTTCAGAATGAAAAAGGCCTACAAATCTACTTTATACAAATTTACAGCTGTTTTAGTGCATACTTGAGAAGAATACATCCATAATGTGAGGAGATACCTGTTATATACAGAATATATAATGGACATAAAAAAGAGAAAGAGAGTAGGGCACAGATGCTGAAGAGCTGAAGCCATCAGGTTATTACAAAGGGTAGAAAATAAGTGACACTTACCTCGAGCATCAAAAAACTCATCATCCGAGCTGTCAACAGATTCCTGTGTGATGTTCTGCATGCGCCAGTGAGAAGCGCTGTGCTTGCGCAGGGTCGCTAAGGGGAGAGAACATGAAAAAGATACGATCAAACCAAAGGTCACAAGTTCTGCATGCAATTACTGAGCATTGTCTGACTACATATTAATTAGACATGCATGATGATAGTGTTATTTAATATTACGAAGTGAAGACGTTCAAAGGAACGGAGCGGTCGGGAATTAATTGAAAGGATGACTGGCTAACGTAAAAATCAAAGTGTAAAATTCGAGATGCAGGGAATCTAAATGAGAGTGCAGAACATGCTTAAGACGACTTGTCAAAAGGTTGTTTCTAATTATCTTAAAAACCTCTTTATTTAAAAGTTTATGCTTAAATGCTTGTAAGTAGTAAGACAAATATAAATTGTGTAAATATATACATCAAATTCTATTTTATTTATAGTTTCATATTTTCAACAAATGAATAAACTTATACTTAATACTTTAATTTATTTACAAACATACATATGCACATGTGTGTGTGTGTGTATATAACCACATATATATATATACATTAGATAAAAATATACAATAAAATAAAAATGTATTTGTGTTGAAGAGGACATAGTTTTGATGACTAAAATTTGGCAAAGAGTATTACAATGATTATAGACAAAGAATGATGGGCATTATGCTGTTGAAAGGCACATTGAGGTATATCATCCCTGATCTTCAAAATCTATAGATACAAAAACTCTTTCTAGAAAATTCCTCCATTCGATGGCTGAAGACATACACTAGTACTTGTCAACTCTGTGTTATGTTGGTATGTGATATGACTTATTTTTGTTGCTATTAAGATGACATTACGAAGAAAATGGCAAAGATCTGAATTATATTCTCTCTTAAACACAAGATGATTCTACCAAGCAGTTATGACAGCAACTACATATCCCAACTTTGCACAACTCATTAGTAGAGAGACAGCATAAAAATTCATCTTCAACAAATTATTTCCAACTAATGACATGCTCACAAACCACAGTCACGATAATCCGGGCCTTTTGGAACAACACGTTCTAATAATCATTGGAGCCATGGGCTGTTTAAATCTAAAGTTAATAACTTTCTAATCTAATGACAGATAGCGGCAATAATGCAAATTACAAATCAGTGCAAGTCAAACGAAAGTTATCCTCTCCAAATCATATTAAGTGGGCCATGATTTAATAATTATAGATCTGCGTCATTGTGAGAGAACATATAGCGATGGGGATTTTTGACGCTTTATAGCTCAGCAAATTGCCTCTTTACTCAAAGCATTAAAACATTTTGTATTATAAGTAATTTAAATCCAGTAATTCACCCAGCCAGGCTTAGCAAGATCACGGCTGCATTCATATGGCTTAAAATCAAAGCACACTGAAACAAACACAACAAAGAAAACCAACTGTAATCACTGAGAGAATTTCATTTATATTGATTCTGTTAGCAGATAAGCATTACAAATTAAGAAAAATACAAGCACAAGGGATCAATAATGGAGAGCTATTATCAGCAGGGCAACAGTAAATGATTTTGCCAATTTGGTTGGCATTACTCAAAAAGTGTCACCTAAGCTGTCAAGTTTTCTTCCCCCTGCTGTCTTGTGTCTGGACCTCCTCATGATCCTGCTCAATAATAACGTCTCACCTTCCATTACTGGTGCTCGGTGTAGTGCCAAGGTTTTCATTGTCTTCCTGTGGCTGCTGAACATCACCATGCAGGAATTAATGAGCTTTTCATCTCTCCCACAATGCCAGTAGGTCAAAAGTTGTGCACTATTAACACACACAACGCATTTGACAACAGCATCAACAGCAATCAGCCTTTTCATTCTGGGGCCTTTGTCTGAACCCTACTGAGACCGTATCACCTTCCAAATCCCGCCAGACAATGTCTATAGATAACAAATGGCTTACAATATCAAAACGAGTGGCATCTTTACTTTTTGTAGCATTTACTTATCATTATGAAGCATTATGGTTTTTTTATCATTTAAAACCAAACATTTCAAACAAATATTTTCTTATGCAATAACATTTTAAAATATGATGTCCAAATTAAGTGTCCACATTCTTGATCCAACTACATATATAAGATTTATAATATCTCATTAAGATTTAAGATGAAAGAGATGGTCCTAAAATTAAAAATTAAAAATTGGTCCTAAAATTCCGCTTTGCAATCATACAGTAACCGTTAAATACTCAACTAACTATCTTACATAAGTTATGGTTAATCGTAGAGTGAACAAAGACACATTCAGTATTTTCTTTTAAATACTTTGATGGAGATTAAATGCTTTTTCCATTGGGACGCAGGAGGGCAGGGGGGACTGTTTCATTAATGCAGTCTAAACATTGAGAAATGGCTTTTAAAGCTTGGTAAATAGATTTACAGAGGAGATAAAGAGGTGCAGATTAGTTTGAATGAGGGAGTCCAGTGAGGGCTGTCTTCAAAGACATGAGGGTGGATATAACCTCAGCTCCTGCACTAAAACATCTCTAATTGAGTCTATTCAGCGTTCACATTTCACATTTCTAATCACATTCGTCCATAATTCAACCTGGGATGAAAGGGAAACGTTTACTTTTTTTGGCAAAGGAAAACCGCATTAAAAAACATGAATGTTTTCAACCAGTAACAGAGATGGTCATGGTTTCGCAAGCTATAATCAAAGTAATATTATAAACCACTGCATAGCTGAACCGAGATGAATTTCATTACAAGTGGCATCGTTTGCCTGCATGGCTTCAGTCTAGCAAGTCGTGCAGGTGATGCTTTTGCACTAAAACAGCAACACAATAAATCTGGCTGAGAAGAGGATTTACTTCAGCCATGAAATTGGAATGGTCTCATGAATAATACATTTAAAGAAAACCAAATACAATAACAAATAATTTGGCCAGCTTCCTCAAGGTCAGGATATCATGTGCTGTTTAATTGTGTCATCATACAAGGGAATTAAATGAAATTGAATGCATGCTGAAAAAGCCTTCCTTTAAAAACTTTAAAATTGAGTTTAAACTAAAATTCAACTAAAAGCTCTTAAGGAAAGATGACTTTGTGGTCTGAGGACAATTCATACTTTAACTTTACCTTCAGACATCTGCACTAGTAAACTCATGGGTGTATTGTATATGTATGTATCCTAAGATTTCTTATACAAGGAGTTTCTAATATTTATCAAACTGATACTGGTCCCATACAGGACAGAATTAACAACCTTTAAGCCACTACAACATCTCTCACCATGCGTTGAATTGCACGCAGGCACTGCTGCAAAAGCTTTAGCTTTATGAATGTAAAGATATTTGTCAATCCAATAAAGCCCTCCAAACTGAAAACATAACTGAATCATTCACTCAACCATTTCGTTCACTGTGTGTTGCTTGGAAACTTTCAACAGTTAATTATGCTGTGGCTTCGTTTGAAACTATTTTCACATGTGGAACAAAAACTGTCAATTTTAAATTTACTCAACATTAACTTCTTGTTTATTGAACTGTTGTATAAAACCCATTCAAACTGATTTTTCAGTATGCATGCTCCATAACTAATATAACTATATGTCTAATTTTAGAGTTTGTTATGAGTTCTGGGTTAGGGATCGTGATTAGAGTCGATATCTGGGTTGGAAGACAGCACAGTACAAAAATGGCATTTTCTCCTGAGCACTCATGATACGACTCACTGAGAGCCTCGCTCTTAATCAAAAACATAATAACTGCTAGATAGCAGCTGCTTTCCTCAACCTCCCTTTTGCACTTTTTCCCTCTTTCTCTCCTTCCCCTCTTCAGCCTCACCCTATCACCCGCGCACTCAAAAAGCTCCTCCACCATTTCTACTAATTTGCTCATCTGCCTCATGTTAAAGCCCCCAGCACTAGAGAAATGTGCTGAGGTAAAGGCCATGACATCAGAAGAATTACATAGGCTCACACAGCAGTGGTTTTAAGGTTGTTTGTGTATGTTTTTCTTTTTGTTGTTGTTGTTTAAAGGAACAAGAAAATAAACAAAGGCCATAATGGCAAACTTGTTGGAAAATAACATTATTTTGTGGTTGCAAGGTCTAGATGTTTGATTAGAGGGGCTGGCATGGATCACTCCCTTATGAAAATCAAAAAGCTGTTTTCAAGTGATGGTTAACATCAAACAGCTTTTTTATTTATGTAAAATGAGAAGTCTCAGAGAATGCATGAAATGATAAAAAGTGTACCTTGCAACATCAGTCACCTTGGATAAAAGCATCTGACAAATACATAAATGTGAATCAAATTATTTTAATAATAATTATGTATATTGTGACGACCCTGATTCTATTGGTGCAGATCGTGGGTTTGATTCTATTGGTTTTCCACATGCTAATTGCTAATTAGTTAGAGTATATGAGAGTGCTGTGCCTTATTTGGGACAGGCACTCTCGGGGGAAGCTATCCTCAGGAGTGGCTCTTTCTTATGTTTTCTTACACCTGTAGCATCAAGATTTTGTTATAGTTTTTTGTTATTTCTTTGTTTTCCCTTATCCCTAGACTTCTGTTTAATATTATTATTTTTGGTTGTGGTATATGTTTAATTTAATAAAACTTGTATTGATTCAAACGTTTCTGCCTATTCCCTCTTTTGTGTTGCGGCTTGAAACGAGCTGGTCGTAACAATATATATATATATATATATATATAATACCTGTCAAAAGTTTGCAAACTTGATTTTTTTTAAATATTTTTGAAAGAAGTATCTTATGCTCACCAAGGCTGCATTTATTTAATAATAAAAAAAAAACAGTAATATTGCAAAATATTATAAAACAATTATATTTTCATTATATTATTAAAAATTATAATATTATTAAAAACTGTTTTCAATTTCAACATACTTTAAAATATAATTTGTTCCAGTGACGGCAAAGCTTAATTTTCAGCATCATTATTCCAGTCTTCAGTGTCACATGATCCTTCAGAAATCATTATAATATGCTGATTTGCTGATTATTACTATCAATGTTGAAAAGAGTCTTTGCTGCTTAACATTATATA